TGCCTTCTAGCAAAGTCAAGTCAATATTATCAAAACTGTTTTATGAAAGACGTTTTTTATTTGCAGGAATGTTCTCCGCTATTTTGATTGCTGAGAAATGTAATAATAATAATAATAAATGTAGCTTATGAGAGTTTGTGGTCACGCTTGCCGGTTGGTTTTGGCACCAAAGCTTTCGTTTTTTGCGATTCCACACAAATTACTCTTCCATCCATGCATTTGTTAATTAAAATATTACCTACAAAGTGATAATTTTTAGGAATAAAAGCTTTAGCGCTCAAGCAAAGCTAAAGAAATGTAAATGCTTGCTTACTTTATTTGTCCTCGTAATTGAAGATAGGTTCTTAATATTTCCTGGTTGGTGTGTTTGTGACAGGCAAACGGAGGCAAACGTTTTAACTCTGCCTTTCCCAAACTCTGTCCTTTGAACCCCAAGGGGTGCACGTTTGGTTTTCCCCTAGCACTACAAAGCTGAACCAAAACATGCACCCCTTGGGGTGCCCAGGACCGAGTTTGGGAAAACGCTGAATTAATTAAATGTACCTATTGATTCTTAAAGATTTTTTCTTATAAGTGCCTCATGAGCTTAGTTCAACTTTCGTACCCCATCAGAACCCAAAATAAAAGCTTGTTTCACTCCAATGTTTGTTAACAAAGTAAATGTAAACAAACAATTATAGCTTCAAAACATGATTAAAACTAGAATTTTGATATCATGGATGGTCAGTCCTTGCATCCATAGCTCTGTCCATGAATTTGAGTCCAGCCCTATCCTTCAGCTTTTTACTGAAACGGGTGGGGTGGGGAGACGCTTTGTTATTGTTTCAACTGCTGATTGACACTTGAACTGTTCATGACAACCTGTTGATGTGAAATGGTATGTTCGATGGTGAAATGCATTATGGGTAAAATGTATTTAAACTCTGCATTTCATCCACAACAGCTGTGACAGGGGAAGGTTGGGCTATACTTGCTGCTGTGCATGCTAATTGCTATCAGTCATTACTGAGGCCTGCCCTGGGGGAGGTCAGTGGGCTGACTTATAGATTTAAATTCAGTTAATATTGCTCTTCGTCCTGTTTATTATTTTGTAAAAAATGTAGTAGCCTACTTTTGGTGCTTATTTATTCCCCATTTTTGCACATAAAAGCCCTTGCCTTGGACAGAAAAACGTAACATCTTTGTCTGCCTCCCTCTACACTGCTAGTCCTACATCCCTCCTTCTACACTGCTAGTCCTACATCCATCCTGACAACGGCCTAGCCTACCTCACAGGGTGTGTGTGTGTGTGTGTGTGTGTGTGTGTGTGTCTGTAAATGTAAACACACCTCTCCCTATGTGTTTACAGAATGAGTCGAGGAACATTGAGATGTTGGCAGCTGCCTGTGCTGTGGGGGTGGGCTGTTGTTTTGCTGCCCCTATAGGAGGTGAGTGGCACCAACACCCATTAGGCACAAACTGGTTGAATCAACGTTGTTTCAGTGTAATTTGTCAACTTATTGTGACGTGGAATCTACATTGGATTTGAAAGAAGTCATCAACGTAAACTACTGTTTTGAGGGTGAAATTTCAACAACAGGATTGTTATCATGGTAACCAAATTTCAACATAGACACTACCTTGTATAAAATGTTTAATTTGTACCTTTTAAAACAAGGTCAGATCTTCAACGTTATATCCACTATCAGGGAAAAAAATAATACACTGCAGCACCTCCTACTGGATAATTGATCTATCTACAGCTACCCTTTGGTCTCCCATCCAAGGTTTTAACGTAGCCTAGCCCTGCTTGTCACTAACTATTACCAATGTGCTATCGTGAGAATGATTGTTGAGAGATCTCCACTTAAAAATTAAATTGATTCACTGTTGCTATGAAGTCATTCCAAAGGGTAGGTTTAACAGAGCAAATGAAATGTGACCATACTTTATCACTCTTATATCATCAATTATGCTATTTATGCCTATATAGCATTTGCAAAGTCATCAACAGCTATTGTCTCAATTCAACCCAGGATTCAGCTAAAAATAGACTACATAGGCCTATGGTTTCAATCTGGTAGATTTTGAAATGTAATGATATTTAATTATATTTAGTGATATTTCATTGTTTGGTTGTCAATGCAACCAAATATCAACATTTGAAGGAGATACACTACCGGTCAAAAGTTTTAGAACCCCTACTCATTCAAGGGTTTTTCTTTTCTTTTTACTATTTTCTACCTTGTAGAAAGTAGTGAAGACATCAAATCTATGAAACAACATGTATGGAATCATGTAGTAATCAAAAAAGTGTTAAACAAATCAAAATATACACTGCTCAAAAAAATAAAGGAACACTTAAACAACACAATGTAACTCCAAGTGAATCACACTTCTGTGAAATCAAACTGTCCACTTAGGAAGCAACACTGATTGACAATACATTTCACATGCTGTTGTGCAAATGGAATAGACAACAGGTGGAAATTATAGGCAATTAGCAAGACACCCCCAATAAAGGTCTGGTTTTGCAGGTGGTGACCACAGACCACTTCTCAGTTCCTATGCTTCCTGGCTGATGTTTTGGTCACTTTTGAATGCTGGCGGTGCTTTCACTCTAGTGGTAGCATGAGACAGAGTCTACAACCCACACAAGTGGCTCAGGTAGTGCAGCTCATCCAGGATGGCACATCAATGCGAGCTGTGGCAAGAAGGTTTGCTGTGTCTGTCAGCGTAGTGTCCAGAGCATGGAGGCGCTACCAGGAGACAGGCCAGTACATCAGGAGACATGGAGGAGGCCGTAGGAGGCCGTAGGAGGGCAACAACCCAGCAGCAGGACCGCTACCTCCGCCTTTGTGCAAGGAGGAGCAGGAGGAGCACTGCCAGAGCCCTGCAAAATGACCCTGGTCAAACGGTCAGAAACAGACTCCATGAGGGTGGTATGAGGGCCCGACGTCCACAGGTGGGGGCTGTGCTTACAGCCCAACACCGTGCAGGACGTTTGGCATTTGCCAGAGAACACCAAGATTGGCAAATTCGCCACTGGCGCCCTGTGCTCTTCACAGATGAAAGCAGGTTCACACTGAGCACATGTGACAGAGTCTGGAGACGCCGTGGAGAATGTTCTGCTGCCTGCAACATCCTCCAGCATGACCGGTTTGGCGGTGGGTCAGTCATGGTGTGGGGTGGCATTTCTTTGGGGGGCCGCACAGCCCTCCATGTGCTCGCCAGAGGTAGCCTGACTGCCATTAGGTACCGAGATGAGATCCTCAGACCCCTTGTGAGACCATATGCTGGTGCGGTTGGCCCTAGGTTCCTCCTAATGCAAGACAATGCTAAACCTCATGTGGCTGGGGTGTGTCAGCAGTTCCTGCAAGAGGAAGGCATTGATGCTATGGACTGGCCCGCCCGTTCCCCAGACCTGAATCCAATTGAGCACATCTGGGACATCATGTCTCGCTCCATTCACCAACGCCACGTTGCACCACAGACTGTCCAGGAGTTGGCGGATGCTTTAGTCCAGGTCTGGGAGGAGATCCCTCAGGAGACTATCCGCCACCTCATCAGGAGCATGCCCAGGCGTTGTAGGGAGGTCATACAGGCCACACACACTACTGAGCCTCATTTTGACTTGTTTTAAGGACATTACATCAAAGTTGGATCAGCCTGTAGTGTTGTTTTCCACTTTAATTTTGAGGGTGACTCCAAATCCAGACCTCCATGGGTTGATAAATTTGATTTCCATTGATCATTTTTGTGTGATTTTGTTGTCAGCACATTCAACTACGTAAAGAAAAAAGTATTTAATAAGATTGTTTCATTCATTCAGATCTAGGATGTGTTATTTTAGTGTTCCCTTTATTTTTTTGAGCAGTGTATTTTATATGTGAGATTCTTCAAATAGCCACCCTTTGCCTTGATGACAGCTTTGCACACTCTTGGCATTCTCTCAACCAGCTTCAAAAAGCCATATCTCAGACTGGCCAATAAAAAGAAATGATTAAGATGGGCAGTCTGAGATATGGCTTTTTCTTTGCAACTCTGCCTAGAAGGTCAGCATCTCGGAGTCGCCTCTTCACTGTTGACACTGAGACTGGTGTTTTGCGGGTACTATTTAATGAAGCTACCAGTTAAAGACCTGTGAGGCGTCGATTTCTCAAACTAGACACTCTAATGTATTTGTCCTCTTGCTCAGTTGTGCACTGGGGCCTCCCACTCCTCTTTCTATTCTGGTTAGAGACAGTTTGCGCTGTTCTGTGAAGGGAGTAGTACACAGCGTTGTACCAGATCTTCAGTTTCTTGGCAATTTCTCGTATAGAATAGCCTTCATTTCTCAGAACAAGAATAGACTGATGAGTTTCAGAAGAAAGTTATTTGTTTCTGGCCATTTTGAGCCTGTAATCGAACCCACAATTGCTGATGCTCCAGATACTCAACTAGTCTCAAGAAGGCCAGTTTTATTGCTTCTTTCATCAGCACAACAGTTTTCAGCTGTGCTAACATAATTACAAAAGGGTTTTCTAATGATCAATTAGCCTTTTAAAATGATAAACTTGGATTAGCAAACACAACGTGTGAATGGAACACAGGACTGATGGTTGCTGATAATGGACCTCTGTACGCCTATGTAGATATTCCATAAAAAATCAGCCGTTTCCAGCTACAATAGCCATTTACAACATTAACAATGTCTACACTTTATTTCTGATCAATTTGAAGTTACTTTAATGGACAAAAAAATAGCTTTTCTTTAGAAAATAAGGACATTTCTAAGTGACCCCAAACTTTTGAACAGTAGTGTAGGTTGTAATCTCATTGATCAACGTCTCAACCAAATATTACCCAATTATCCACATTGAAATTGTGGTGTGCCCAGTCGGATAACACTCACTGACTGATACACTGGTTGGGTCAGAGATTGCAAGGTTCACTCCTTCCCCCTTCACTCCCCTGATTGGGGCATAGTTACTTTGATCATGTTACTGAGAAATTGTTTAATGTGTGTGTGTTTTGTAGGTGTGCTGTTCAGTATTGAGGTAACGTCTACGTTCTTTGCGGTGAGGAATTACTGGAGAGGGTTCTTCGCTGCCACCTTCAGTGCCTTCATCTTCAGAGTCCTGGCCGTGTGGAATAGAGACGAGGGTAAGACCGGTCTACATGTATACTGAACAAAAATATAAGCGCAACATGTAAAGTGTTGGTCCCATGTTTCATGAGCTGAAATAAAAGATCACCATTTTCGATACGCACAAAAAACGTATTTCTCTCAAATTTGGTGCACAAATCTGTTTACATCCCTGTTAGTGAGCATTTCTCATTTGCCAAGATAATCCATCCACCTGACAGGTGTGGCTTATCAAGAAGCTGATTAAACAGCATGATCATTACAGCCACCCAGACAGCTGATGAAACTGTGGGTTTGTGCAACTGAATGAATTTCTGCACAAACTGTCAGAAACTGTCTTAGGGAAGCTCATCTGCGTGCTCGTCATCCTCACCAGGGTCTTGAATTGACTGCAGTTCGGCATCGTAACCGACTTCAATGGGCAAATGCTCACCTTCGTTGGCCACTGGCAAGCTAGAGAAGTGTGCTCTTCATGGATGAATCCCGGATTCAACTTTACTGGGCAGATTGAAGTCAGCGTGTATGGCGTCGTTTGGGCAAGCGGTTTGCTGAACGGAGTGCCCCATGGTGGCGGTGAGGTTATGGTATGGGCAGGCATAAGCTACGGACAACAAACACAATTGCATTTTAACTATGGCAGTTTGAATGCATAGAGATACCGTGACGAGATCCTGAAGCCCAATGTCGTGCCATTTATCCCCCGCCATTACCTCATGTTTCAGCATGATAATGCACGGCCCTATGTCGCAAGGATCTGTACACAATTCCTGGAAGCTGAAAATGTCCCAGTTCTTTCATGGCCTGCATACTCAGCAGACATCTCACCCATTGAGCATGTTTGGGATGCTCTGGATCAACATGTACGACAGTGTGTTCCTGTTCCCGCCAAGCAGGTAGCTTAGTGGCCAAACAGGTAGCTTAGTGGCCAAACAGGTAGCTTCGTGGTTAAGAGCGTTGTGCCAGTAACCGAAAGGTCGCTGGTTCTAATCCCCGAGCTGACTAGGTGAAAAATCTGTCTGTGTCCTTGAGCAAGGCACTTAACCCTAATTGCTCCTGTAAGTCGCTCTGGATAAGAGCGTCTGCTAAATGACAAAAAAATTAAATAATACACAGCCATTGAAGAGGAGTAGGTCCACATTCCACAATCAACAGCCTGATCAACTCTATGCGAAGGAGATGTGTTGCGCTGCATGAGGCAAATGGTGGTCACACCAGATACTGACTGGTTTTCTGATCCACGCCCTTACCTTTTTTTAAGGTATCTGTGACCAACAGATGCATATCTGTGTTCCCAGTCATGTGAAATCCATAGATTAGGGCCTATTGAATTTATTTCAATTGACTGATTTCCTTACATGAACTGTAACTCAGGAAAATCTTTATAATTGTTGCATGTTGCGTAAACATGTTTTTTGTGTATATGGGTCACTCCACCAATTGGGTGCCTTTTGAGATGTCAAAATATATTTTGATTTCACCTCATTTTAACATTGTCATAAAGGGCACATGTTCAACTTCATAAAAAACAAGTTTTCCCATCTCTGGAGGTTAAATTAAAAGTGAGTTATAGGAAGTGCCTATCAAGTGTCAAATAAAGTAACAGGGTTGTTAAATCGGCCAGAAATCAGCCAGAAATCCCCTTGTGAAATGGGGAATGGAAGCTTGTTGTGTGCGACAGGGAGGAGCAATTGTGTGCAAGCGTCACAATTTTTTATTATTATTAAGATTTGTACCCTGTCTATCTATGGGTAACCGGTTGATGTGTTGTGTTCGACCCGCTCAGTTTTCCACCACAAAACACCAGAAAATGGCCAAAAAGAGTACAACCAGCTAACCTGCTTTTACACCATGACAGATGTAAATTAATCACATTAAATAAATAATAATCTTCAGAACTGACTTTGTCAAAGCAACAGAGGGTGCATGGAGGGACATGTCAAAATGCAGTTTTAACACTTTAGCAAGCCTTTATTCATACACTAGCAGTGAAAAGTTTGGACACACCTACTCATTCCAGGGTTTTTCTTTATTTTTACTATTTTTTACATTGTAGAATAATAGTGAAGACATCAAAACTATGAAATAACACAGAATCATGTAGTAACCAAAGAATTGTTAAACAAATCAAAATATATTTGAGATTCTTCAAATAGCCACCCTTAAAAATAAAGAATAACCCTTGAATGAGTAGGTGTGTCCAAACTTTTGATTGGTACAGATTTATTGAATTCTCCATGTGGTCTATATTAAAGGGCACTTCATTAAATATAACAGACTTTTAAAATTCAATATTGGTGCACAATTTCTACTTAAAATATTCAAGGGACGCAAAAGGCACTCATTTCGTGGAACGACCCATATATTGTATATTGCCCCAATCAAACATTGAGGTAAGGTCTGTACTGTGTATATAGCCCCTTAAAAACATTTTTTGATAAGGATGAATCACTCTCTATTTCTCTCTCCCTCCCTCCTAAACAGAGACCATCACAGCTCTGTTTAAAACCAGTTTCCGTCTGGACTTTCCCTTTGACCTCCAGGAGCTCCCAGCCTTCGCTGTCATTGGGTGAGTCTAAGTTGGCCTCAGTTAGCCAGTGAATGCTGGTGTGAGGGTTCAGGAGGATAGCCTCCTGACGTTAGTCACCTAATATGGATAATTCAGCCAGTGAGGTGGTGCATTTAGGACATCTTATTTTAGCTTGCTGTTACGGTAGTAGCGTAGCCTCCGGGCTTACCACAGAACTGAATTAGACCAGAGCCTCACAGGGGAGGGAGGGAGAGAGAGAGAGAGAGAGAGAAAGAGGGGGGGCTGCTGGGGAGATGGATAAAGAGGGGAGTCTCTCTCTCTCTCTCTCTCTCTCTCTCTCTCTCTCTCTCTCTCTCTCTCTCTCTCTCTCTCTCTCTCTCTCTCAGATGAAAGAACAGCCCTGTGCTTAACGGCTCCCAAAGAGAAGAAAATCCCTATTTCTTTCCTCCTTTTTGTCTGGAGGATGTCCTCCCACTTGGGATCTGAGCAGAACATAATCTAACAAAACGCTGCCTCCAGAGAACAGCCGTCTTATCACACTTTTAGAGAGGGAGTTTGTTGTGTGTCTGTACGCACGCCCCTGCATGTGTGTATGTTGGTATCCTCTCCCTCGCCAATGCCTTGATGTCTTATGGGGAAAGTCGGTCAGTGTTTCAGTTAACTCGGACAGAGAGAGAGCGGGGGAGGTTTGTCTCCTCTGCTACATGCTAGATGGGGCAAACCTTTGTGTAGTAAACCCCTTCTAGCTCTGGGATAATGTTTCAAACTTTCACTGGTACTCAGATGTGGCGTTCTGAGAATATACACACGTACATACATACACACGTTTCAGAGAATGGCTTTAAAACGTGTACAAATGATTCTACGTCATCTATTCATAATTTATTCAGGAGTATTTGACAGAATTAATTATGCAGGAACATGAATATATGAGCATTCATATACTTGGCGGTAGCTCAAGGGGAACTTTGGAAAGTACTTCTAAAAGGGCCCTGCTTGATTCTGGTGGCTCTCTGTCCTACAACCACTTACACAAAGTGGACACATACTGGATAAAACACAAGCTTATATACGTAAACCTGTCTCTCTCTCTCTTTCTCCACCTCATTTTGTTCTTTTAATCTCCCTGTCCCTCTTCTCTCCATTGCCCCTCTCCCTCTTCTCCGCGCTCAACCCTCCCTCCTCTCTCTCCACAGTATTGCCAGTGGTTTTGGTGGGGCGTTGTTTGTCTACCTGAACAGACTGATAGTCCAGTTCATCAGGAAACAGAAGACCATCAACAAGTTCCTCATGAAGAAGTAAGTCATTACGTCAGACAGTGGCCCCTACTGGGTCCCGGAGAGTCCCTGTATCCTAGTGTCTCACTCTCTCTCTCTCACACACACACACACACACACACACACATATTTAGCTCCTTTGATGCAGATCTCTCCACAGCAGAGATAAATGAAGACATTCATCTTGACAAGTGTTTATTAATGAATGGTGTTTACTCATCTCCCTACCAGATGAATTAACGATTCTCAGACTTCTAAATTAATGTCATGTTTTGTATATCACTCAGCCATGGAAGGGTTTGGGGACAGTTTGGTTATGAAGAATAAACAGTAATGACTCAACACCCTCTCGCCTCGTCCTCTCCCCCTCCTTCTCTCTTTCCTCTCCCTCTCACCCTCCCTCTTACTCTCCTCTCCCTCTCACCCTCCCTCCCGCTTCCTCTCACCCTCCCTCCCTCTCTTCTCTCAGGCGTCTGCTGTACCCAGCCCTGGTCACTCTGCTGGTGTCTACGCTAACCTTTCCCCCCGGCTTCGGACAGTTCATGGCAGGCAAGGTTAGTTCCACTAAGCCACACCATGGCCGGTGTGGGCTGGTCATCATCTCACAGGAGAAATCAGAGGGAGGGAGGGGGGAGGTAAGCCAGTTGAGAACAAGTTCTCATTTACAACTGCGACCTGGCCAAGATGAAGCAAAGCAGTGCGGTAAAAACAACAACAACACAGAGTTACATATGGGATAAACAAAACATACAGTCAATAACACAATAGAAAATCTATATACAGTGTGTGCAAATGTAGTAAGTTATGGAGGTAAGGCAATAAATATGCCATAGTGCAAAATAATTACAATTATAATTTAGTATTAACACTGGAGTGAAAGATGTGCAGAAGATGATGTGCAAATAGAGATACTGGGGTGCAAATTAGCAAAATAAATAACAATGTAAACAATATGGAGATGAGGTAGTTGGGTGGGCTAATTACAGATGGGCTGTGTACAGGTGCAGTGATCGGTAAGCTGCTATGACAACTGATGCTTAAAGATAGTGAGGGAGATAAGAGTCTCCAGCTTCAGAGATTTTTGCAGTTCGTTCCAGTCATTTGCAGCAGAGAACTGGAAGGAATGGCGGCCAAAGGAGGTGTTGGCTTTGGGGATGACCACTGAGATATACCTGCTGGAACGTAGACTACGGGTGGGTGTTGCTATGGTAACCTATGAGCTAAGATAAGGCGGGGATTTGCCTAGAAGTGATTTATAGATGACCTGGAGCCAGTGGGTTTGGCGACAAATATGTAGTGAGGGCCAGCCAACAGGTCACAATGGTGGGTAGTATATGGGGTTTTGGTGACAAAACGGATGGCACTGTGATAGACTACATCCAATTTGCTGAGTAGAGTGTTGGAAGCTATTTTGTAAATGACATCGCCGAAGTCAAGGATCGGTAGGATAGTCAGTTTTACGAGGGCATGTTTAGCAGCATGAGTGAAGGAGGCTTTGTTGCGAAATAGGAAGCCGATTCTAGATTTAACTTTGGATTGGAGATGCTTAATGTGAGTCTGGAAGGAGAGTTTACGGTCTAACCAGACACCTAGGTATTTGTAGTTGTCCACATATTCTAAGTCAGACCCGCCGAGAGTAGTGATTCTAGTCGGGCAGGCGGGTGCAAGCAGCGTTCGATTGAAGAGCATGCATTTAGTTTTACTAGTGTTTAAGAGCAGTTGGAGGCCACGGAAGGAGTGTTGTATGGCATTGAAGCTCGTTTGGAGGTTTGTTAACACAGTGTCCAATGAAGGGCCAGATGTATACATTAACAGACACATCTCAACATCAGCTGTTCAGAGGAGACTGCATGAATCAGGCCTTCATGGTCTACTAAAGGACACTAATAAGAAGAGACCTGCTTGGGCCAAGAAACACGAGCAATGGACATTAGACCGGTGGAAGTTTCCTATTGGTCTGAGTCCAAATTTGAGATTTTTGGTTCCAACCGCTGTGTTTTTGTGAGACGCAGAGAAGGTGAACGGATCATCTCCACATGTGTGGTTCCCACCGTGAAGCATGGAGGAGGAGTGAAGGTGTGGGGGTGCTTTGCTGGTGACGCTGTCTGTGATTTATTTAGAATTCAAGGCACAATTAACCAGCATGGCTACCACAGCATTCTGCAGCGATATGCCATCCCATCTGGTTTGCGCTTAGTGGGACTGTGTAACTCAAAACACACCTCCAGGCTGTGTAAGGGCTATTTGACCAAGGAGAGTGATGGAGAGCTACATCAGATGATCTGGCCTCCACAATCCACCGACCTCAACCCAATTGAGATGGTTTGGGATGAGTTGGACCGCAGAGTGAAGCAAAAGCAGCCAACAAGTGCTCAGCATATGTGGGAACTACTTCAAGACTGTTGGAAAAGCATTCCTCATTAAGCTGGTTGAGAGAATACCAAGAGTGTGCAAAGCTGTCATCAAGGCAAAGGGTGGCTACTTTGAAGAATCTAAAATCTAAAACATATTTGTTTAAAACTTTTTTTGGTTACTACATGATTCCATATGTGTTATTTCATAGTTTTGATGTCTTCACTATTATTCTACAATGTAGAATTTAGTAAAAAATAAAGAAAAACCCTTGAATGAGTAGGTGTGTCCACATTTCTGACTGGTACTGTATATATACACTACCGTTCAAAAGTTTGGGGTCACTTAGAAAGAAAAGCAAATTTTTTGTCCATTAAAAGAACATAAAATTGATCAGAAATACAGTGTAGACATTGTTAATGTTGTAAATGGCTATTGTAGCTGGAAACAGCTGATTTTTAATGGAATATCTACATAGGCCCATTATCTGCAACCATCAGTCCTGTGTTCCAATGGCACGTTGTGTTTGCTAATCCAAGTTCATCATTTTAAAAGGCTAATTGATCATTAGAAAACCCTTTTGCAATTATGTTAGCACAGCTGGAAACTGTTGTGCTGATTAAAGAAACAATAAAACTAGCCTTCTTGAGACTAGTTGAGTATCTGGAGCATCAGCAATTGTGGGTTCGATTACAGGCACAAAATGGCCAGAAACAACGAACTTTCTTCTGAAACTCGTCAGTCTATTCTTGTTCTGAGAAATGAAGGCTATTCCATGTGAGAAATTGTCAAGAAACTGAAGATCTCGTACAACGCTGTAGCTCAGTTGGTAGAGCATGGCGCATGCAATGCCAGGGTTGTGGGTTCGTTTCCCACGGGGGGCCAGTATGAAAAATGTATGCACTCACTAACTGTAAGTCGCTCTGGATAAGAGCGTCTGCTAAATGACTAAAATGTAAATGTGTGTGTATATATATAAATGGAATAGACAACAGGTGGAAATTATAGAAAATTAGCAAGACACCCCCAATAAAGGACTGGTTTTGCAGGTGGTGACCACAGACCACTTCTCAGTTCCTATGCTTCCTGGCTGATGTTTTGGTCACTTTTGAATGCTGGTGGTGCTTTCACTCTAGTGGTAGCATGAGACGAAGTCTACAACCCACACACGTGGCTCAGGTAGTGCAGCTCATCCAGGATGGCACATCAATGCGAGCTGTGGCAAGAAGGTTTGCTGTGTCTGTCAGCGTAGTGTCCAGAGCATGGAGGCGCTACCAGGAGACAGGCCAGTACATCAGGAGACGTGGAGGAGGCCGTAGGAGGGCAACAACCCAGCAGCAGGACTGCTACCTCCGCATTTGTGCAAGGAGGAGCATGAGGAGCACTGCCAGAGCCCTGCAAAATGACCTCCAGCAGGCCACAAATGTGCATGTGTCTGCTCAAACGGTCAGAAACAGACTCCATGAGGGTGGTATGAGGGCCCGACGTCCACAGGTGGGGGTTGTGCTTACAGCCCAACACCGTGCAGGACGTTTGGCATTTGCCAGAGAACACCAAGATTGGCAAATTCGCCACTGGCGCCCTGTGCTCTTCACAGATGAAAGCAGGTTCACACTGAGCACGTGACAGAGTCTGGAGACGCCGTGGAGAACGTTCTGCTACCTGCAACATCCTCCAGCATGACCAGTTTGGCGGTGGGTCAGTCATGGTTTGGGGTGGCATTTCTTTGGGGGGCCGCACAGCCCTCCATGTGCTCGCCAGAGGTAGCCTGACTGCCATTAGGTACCGAGATGAGATCCTCAGACCCCTTGTGAGACCATATGCTGGTGCGGTTGGCCCTGGGTTCCTCCTAATGCAAGACAATGCTAGACCTCATGTGGCTGGAGTGTGTCAGCAGTTCCTGCAAGAGGAAGGCATTGATGCTATGGACCGCCCGTTCCCCAGACCTGAATCCAATTGAGCACATCTGGGACATCATGTCTCGCTTTAGTCCAGGTCTGGGAGGAGATCCCTCAGGAGACCATCCGCCACCTCATCAGGAGCATGCCCAGGCGTTGTAGGGAGGTCATACAGGCACGTGGAGGCCACACACACTACTGAGCCTCATTTTGACTTGTTTTAAGGACATTACATCAAAGTTGGATCAGCCTGTAGTGTGGTTTTCCACTTTAATTTTGAAAGTGACTCCAAATCCAGATCTCCATGGGTTGATAAATTTGATTTCCATTGATAATTTTTGTGTGATTTTGTTGTCAGCACATTCAACTATGTAAAGAAAAAAGTATTTAATAAGACTATTTCATTCATTCAGATCTAGGATGTGTTATTTTAGTGTTCCCTTTATTTTTTTGAGCTGTGTATATATATATATATCTCAAATCAAATCAAATTTTATTGGCCACATGAGCCGAATACAACAGGTGCAGACATTACAGTGAAATGCTTACTTACAGCCCTTAACCAACAGTGCATTTATTTTTAACAAAAAAGTAAAAATAAAACAACAACAAAAAAAGTGTTGAGAAAAAAAGAGCAGAAGTAAAATAAAATAACAGTAGGGAGGCTATATATACAGGGGGGTACCGGTGCAGAGTCAATGTGCGGGGGCACCGGCTAGTTGAGGTAGTTGAAGTAATATGTACATGTGGGTAGAGTTAAAGTGACTATGCATAAATAATTAACAGAGTAGCAGCAGCGTAAAAGGATGGGGTGGGGGGGCAGTGCAAATAGTCCAGGTAGCCATGATTAGCTGTTCAGGAGTCTTATGGCTTGGGGGTAGAAGCTGTTGAGAAGTCTTTTGGACCTAGACTTGGCACTCCGGTACCGCTTGCCGTGCGGTAGCAGAGAGAACAGTCTATGACTAGGGTGGCTGGAGTCTTTGACAATTTTGAGGGCCTTCCTCTGACACCGCCTGGTATAGAGGTCCTGGATGGCAGGAAGCTTGGCCCCAGTGATGTACTGGGCCGTACGCACTACCCTCTGTAGTGCCTTGCGGTCGGAGGCCAAGCAGTGGGGAGAACAAGTATTTGATACACTGCCGATTTTGCAGGTTTTCCTACTTACAAAGCATGTAGAGGTCTGTAATTTTTATCATAGGTACACTTCAACTGTGAGAGACGGAATCTAAAACAAAAATCCAGAAAATCACATTGTATGATTTTTAAGTAATTAATTTGCATTTTATTGCATGACATAAGTATTTGATCACCTACCAACCAGTAAGAATTCCGGCTCTCACAGACCTGTTAGTTTTTCTTTAAGAAGCCCTCCTGTTCTCCACTCAATACCTGTATTAACTGCACCTGTTTGAACTCGTTACCTGTATAAAAGACACCTGTCCACACACTCAATCAAACAGACTCCAACCTCTTCACAATGGCCAAGACCAGAGAGCTGTGTAAGGACATCAGGGATAAAATTGTAGACCTGCATAAGGCTGGGATGGGCTACAGGACAATAGGCAAGCAGCTTGGTGAGAAGGCAACAACTGTTGGCGCAATTATTAGAAAATGGAAGAAGTTCAAGATGACGGTCAATCACCCTCGGTCTGGGGCTCCATGCAAGATCTCACCTCGTGGGGCATCAATGATCATGAGGAAGGTGAGGGATCAGCCCAGAACTACACGGCAGGACCTGGTCAATGACCTGAAGAGAGCTGGGACCACAGTCTCAAAGAAAACCATTAGTAACACACTATGCCGTCATGGATTAAAATCCTGCAGCGCACGCAAGGTCCCCCTGCTCAAGCCAGCGCATGTCCAGGCCCGTCTGAAGTTTGCCAATGACCATCTGGATGATCCAGAGGAGGAATGGGAGAAGGTCATGTGGTCTGATGAGACAAAAATATAGCTTTTTGGTCTAAACTCCACTCGCCGTGTTTGGAGGAAGAAGAAGGATGAGTACAACCCCAAGAACACCATCCCAACCGTGAAGCATGGAGGTGGAAACATCATTCTTTGGGGATGTTTTTCTGCAAAGGGGACAGGACGACTGCACTGTATTGAGGGGAGGATAGATGGGGGCCATGTATCGCGAGATCTTGGCCAACAACCTCCTTCCCTCAGTAAGAGCATTGAAGATGGGTCGTGGCTGGGTCTTCCTGCATGACAACGACCCGAAACACACAGCCAGGGCAACTAAGGAGTGGCTCCGTAAGAAGCATCTCAAGGTCCTGGAGTGGCCTAGCCAGTCTCCAGACCTGAACCCAATAGAAAATCTTTGGAGGGAGCTGAAAGTCCGTATTGCCCAGCGACAGCCCCGAAACCTGAAGGATCTGGAGAAGGTCTGTATGGAGGAGTGGGCCAAAATCCCTGCTGCAGTGTGTGCAAACCTGGTCAAGACCTTCAGGAAACGTATGATCTCTGTAATTGCAAACAAAGGTTTCTGTACCAAATATTAAGTTCTGCTTTTCTGATGTATCAAATACTTATGTCATGCAATAAAATGCAAATTAATTACTTAAAAATCATACAATGTGATTTTCTGGATTTTTGTTTTAGATTCCGTCTCTCACAGTTGAAGTGTACCTATGATAAAAATTACAGACCTCTACATGCTTTGTAAGTAGGTAAACCTGCAAAATCGGCAGTGTATCAAATACTTGTTCTCCCCACTGTATATATATAATAATAATAATCCTTATCAATCTACACACAATACCCCATAGTGACAAAGCAAAAACGGTTTTTAGAAATGTTTGCAAATGTATTAAAAATAAAAAACAGACCTTATTTACATAAGTATTCAGACCCTTTGTTATGAGACTCGAAATTGAGCTCAGGTGCATCCTGTTTCCATTGATCATCCTTAAGATGTTTCTACAACTTGATTGGAGTCCACCTCTGGTAAATTAAATTGATTGGACACGATTTAGAAAGGCTCACACCTGTCTATATAAGGTCCCACAGTTGACAGTGCATGTCAGAGCAAAAACCAAGCCATGAGGTCGAAGGAATTGTCCGTAGAGCTCCGAGACCGGTTTGTGTCAAGGACAGATCTGGGGAAGGGTACCAAAACATTTCTGCAGCATTGAATGTCCCCAAGAACACATAGACCTCCATAATTCTTAAATGGAAGAAGTTTGGAACCACCAAGAGCTGGCTGCCCGGCCAAACTGAGCAATCGGGGGAAGAAGGGCCTTGGTCAGGGAGGTGACCAAGAACCCAATGGTCACTCTGAATGAGCTCCAGAGTTCCTCTGTGGAGATGGGAGATCCCTTCCAGAAGGACAACCATCTCTGCAGCACTCCACCAATCAGGCCTTTATGGTAGAGTGGCCAGACGGAAGCCACTCCTCAGTAAAAGGCACATGACAGCCCGCTTGGAGTTTGCCAAAAGGCACCTGAAGGACTCTCGGATCATGAGAAACAAGATTCTCTTGTCTGATGAAACCAAGATTGAACTCTTTGGCCTTAATGCGAAGCGTCACGTCTGGAGGAAACCTGGCACCATCCCTACGGTGAAGAATGGTGGTGGCAGCGTCATGCTGTGGGGATGTTTTTCAGCGGCAGGGACTGGGAGACTAGTCAGGATCGAGGTAAAAATGAATGGAGCAAAGTACAGAGATCCATTATGAAAACCTGCTCCAGAGAAGGTTCACCTTCCAACAGGACAATGACCCTAAGCACTTAGCCAAGACTACGCAGGAGTGGCTTCAGGACAAGTCCATGAGTGGCACACCCATAGCCCGGACTTGAACCCGATTGAACGTCTCTATAAAGACCTGAAAATAGCTGTGCAGCAACGCTCCCCATCCAATCTGACAAAGCTTGAGAGGATCTGCAGAGAAGAATGGGAGAAACTCCCCAAATACAGGTGTGCCAAGCTTGTAGCATCATACCCAAGAAGAATCAAGGCTGTAATCGCTGCCAAAGGTGCTTCAACAAAGTACTGAGTAAAGGGTCTGAATACTTATGGAAATGTGATATTTCAGTTTTAAATTTTTTATTAATTTGCTAACATTTCAAAAATACTGTTTTTGCTTTGTCATAATGGGTATTGTGTGTAGATTGATGAAGGGAAATAAACCATTTAATCCATTTTAGAATAATGCTGTAACATAACAAAATGTGGAAAAAGTCAAGGGGTCTGAATACTTTCAGAGTGCACTGGAATGTCACTTCCTGTTTCCCCATGCAGCTGACCCAGAAGGAGTCCCTGGTGACGTTGCTAGACAACCGGACATGGGCCAAGCAGGGCATAGCCGAGGGATTTGACTACATCGGCAACTCCCAGGCCTGGAATCACCCCCAGGTCAACGTCTTCGTCACCCTCGTCCTCTTCATCGTAATGAAGGTAGGCACACATCGTCATCATCATCCACTTTGTTCTCATCTCTCCTCTTCTTTATAATCACCAGTTATTTTTTAATTCCCTGTTACTTTACTCCCTCCCCACTACATGTGGCGTGTCTCAATAGTCTGCAGTAACGTCCTTCCCATTTGACATGACAGGTGAAGGTAATATGACAGGATCCTGTCCAGTCATTTCAATGGAAGGAGAGGAGTATTGAGACCCAGCCCAGTGTTGTATAAGGGTTAAGCTTGAGGTGTATTAAGACCCAGCCCAGTGTTATATGAGGGTTAGGTTTCTGAAGTATTGAGACCCAGCCCAGTGTTATATGAGGGTTAGGTTTCCGAAGTTTTGAGACCGAGCCCAGTGTTATGAGGGTTAGGGTTATGGTGTATTGAGACCCAGCCCAGTGTTATATGCTGGTTATGGTGTATTGAGACCCAGCCCAGTGTTATATGAGGGTTAGGGTTGTGGTGTATTGAGACCCAGCCCAATGTTATATGAGGGTTAGGGTTGTGGCATATTGAGACCCAGCCCAGTGTTATATGAGGGCAGGTGAAGCAGCATGTTATTACCTTGTTGGGATTTGATTAGGTTTTTATGTAACCTTTGTTTATCCAGGTTCTTCCATCTAGCATCTCACATGAAATATCCCCTTTTAAAAGAGAACCGCAGAACTGCTGTTGTAAATCTTGTTCGCTCGCTGCGTTGTGTGTGTGTGTGAGAGAGAGAGAGGCAATAGGCTGTGTGTATCGAGTAAACCAAGTGTGTAATGCAGTTAAAGTCCCTGGATAGCGAGGAACCACAGAGGGATGGAGAGAGACAAGTGTGTGGTGTGTGTGGAGAGGGACTGAGGGGAGAGTGCTAGAGCAGTAAAGTTATATAACCGTTAGATATTGAGTGTGATGATCCTGCTGTAATAGAAGATAAATACACTCTATACACTCTTTCTCTCCTTTGCCTTCTCGCTCATCCTAGCTCTCTCTTTCTTTGCCTTTTGTCTCTCACAAAATCAGAAAAGAAAACGTCATTATACTTTGTGGAACCCAGTGAGACCAATCTACTCTAAATGAATCTACTCCACTCCAACCAATTCTCTTTCTCTCCACTTCACCCCTCGCCCTGTCTCTCATTGATACAGTAGAGTGTGTCCATCTTGTCCTCTCCTTCCTCTTCTGTCTTGTCCTGAAATCAGACACCTTTACTGTCCCCCCTCTGACGGTGCTGTCCAATCCCATCCCCCCGTTCCTCCAACGTCACTCCCAAGGGCGTAACTTGTGTGTGTGTGTGTGGCCCGCTACTGTATATGGGGCAGTATTTCTGCTCCATTTTTTGACGTTGTCACTAACTTTGTGTGTGTGCCCGCTGTCCTCAATAGAGGTAGTATTTTTGGCCTTACATGCATACGTAGTCAACTTCACTCACACATCTCTTACAGAACTTAGACGCACATACGCGCACGCACACTAACTCGGACGCACACAAAGTGTGTCTGCTGGGATGATGTCTAATTACATGGTATAGTTTAAAGAGCCCAGAGTGGTAGTTTCTTCCACACTATGCAAATGGCCCAAGCTTTTATTAGACACAGACAGACATTCTATGGATAGATTTTCTCCTCTCTATGATATTACTCATAGGCTGCCTTCTCTATAGCAGACTGACTGTTTTTAGCTAGCACACTGCATTGAGACAGCTTTTTGACCCCTATAGGTTTTTTGCAGTCCTTCTCCAGTCCTCTGTTGGAGGGTGGTGGCAGCCCAGCAATTGGAGTGGGAATAGGAGTAGGGCCCTTGGAGGCCCCTAGGGGCCTGGGCGATAGACTGTCACACACACACCCTTCTGATGACTGACACATTCAATCGAGTATAAATGTCCCCGCTACTGCGTCAAAACTTTTCCCCTTGACCCCGCTTTCCTCCCCATCCCTCTCTCCCTCTTTCTCCTTCTCTCTTTGTCATTTCCCCCTCTTTTTTTTTTATTCCGTTCCATCTTTGTTTCCCTCTGATTCCCCGCTTTTTTTCGTCCATCTCCTCTACTCCCTCGGCTCTCTTCCTCTTTCCCTTTTTTTTTCTCCCTCGCTCACATCTCGCTCTCTCACCCCTGTCTCTGTGGGATTAAAGGAACTGTTAATGACGCTTTAGCTGACGTCTTATTCACATATGGGAATGCTGGAGCAGGTGTGAGCCCTCAGGAAGAGGTGTGTCTCCAGCTCTGCCTGTTTCTCTATAAACCATATAAACTGCTCCATTACCATAGAAACGTCCATCTCCCTTTTACAGGCCCACACCTGTGGCCTTGTATGTCTTTTACTGTCTGTCTGTCTGTCTGTGCTTTTGCTCTGAGAAAGAGAGCGAGAGAAATGACAGAGAACAGCGTTAGAGAAGAGACATGGAGGAAGCAAGAGTCAAAAGAAACTAGGAAAAGTGACATTTAAAGGAAGTATAAAGACGTGTATAAAGGAGAAATAGGAGAGGACTATAGCTGCTATACAGGAGGATGTTACAGGAGGATGTTACAGGAGGATGTTACAGGAGGATGTTGATGGCGTAGATGTTCCCATTGTTTTGCAATGATTGCATCAGCTATTTTATGACCACCTTCCGCTGTCATTCTGTAAAGGTTATTGGTTCTGTCACAGAAGGTCAGTATTCAGGGATTCTGTAACTTGGGATTACTTTGTGTGTGTGTGATTGCGCGTGTGTGGTAGTTGAAGTCCCGTCTTGCAGCATCCCAAGGTCCCCCTGGTCTGAAAGTCATATCTGAGGTATAGTAGGTGATACTCTACTGTCCTCTGAGGCCATGATGATACAGTAATGATGAAGCCATACCTGTCTGCTCATACCTGCGTGAGTCAGCAAGAGCATCGCCTAGGTAACCCCGTGACAGGGAGGGAAGAACCCAGGGTGACTGTCACTGGGCAGGAAGTCAACGTCACCACCGCCCGTCACCATGGGAATACTGCCCTGCCTGCTGTCCTAGCGATTGCCGCTGAAGGAGAAGTGATGTCATCGCACCCTGCCAACATTATTTGCCTCTCACCTGTGTGTGTGCACGCGCGTGTGTGTAAGACAGAGGGGACTAATTACTAGAGCAGTAGAGCTGACCATGTCCAAATAATGATTTTATATCAAACATGGCAGTCAACAGAAACCAAGCCAGGTCTCCTCTCTTCTCATTAGAGACGAGAGAGAGAGAGAGAGAGAGAGAGAGGGGAAAAGAGGGATAGAGAGGGAAGGAGGGAGAGAAGGAGGGAGGGCGGGCGGGGAGGGGAGGTTGAAAAAGGAGAGTGTTGGAAGAGAGCTGTGTTACTGTTAGGTAAGACTATTCAGTTCTAGGGAACCCTGTAACATTAAACTGAATACGTAGATTGACTTACAGGTAATCTGTGGACTGTCTGCTCTGCAATGCTGTGTGTGTGTCTTATAGAAGTACACAAATGCACTAGACAAAAATACACACTCGCAGACAATGGTTATTTTTTTTTGTTTTTTTCTCTACACACACACACACACACACACACACACACACACACACACACACACACACACACACACACACGCTCCTCCGGTGACATCTGAGTTCATACCTCTGTAATAACCTTAAGCCCATGTTATGAGTTTCCAGATCCCTTAAACCCCTCTCCCTTATTGAGGTTTGCCTAGACAGACCGTGTGTTTTCATGCAGCACCTGTTGGAGAAGTTAGATTGGCGTTGAGATCAGAACCATTTCCTGACCATTTCCATCATGGTGCATGGTAATTGACATCATAACATGGACTTATTAAGTCAGGATATTACGTGTGGTGCCAAATGGCAGCCCGCCACACACATTCTTCTCTGCAATGCTCCATTTTCCATCAATCAAATCAAATTGTATTTGTCACATGCACCGAATACAACAGGTGTAGACCTTACCATGAAATGCTTACTTACAAGCCCTTAACCAACAATGCAGTTCAAGAAATAGAGTTAAGAAAATATTTACTAAAGTAAACATAAATAAAGTAACACAAATAATAATAACATGGCTATATACAGGGGTACCGAGTCAATGTGGGAGGGTACAGGATTGTCGAGGTAATTTGTACATGTAGGTAGGGGTGAAGTGACTATGCATAAATAATAAACAGCGATTAGCAGCAGTGTAAAAGCAAAGGAGGGGGGGGTCAGTGTAAATAGTCCAGGTGGCCATTTGATTAATTGTTCAGCAGTATTATGGCTTGGGGGGTAGAAGCTGTTAAGGAGCCTTTTGGACCTAGACTTGGCTCCTCGGTACTGCTTGCCGTCCGGTAGCAGAGAGAACAGTCTATGACTTGGGTGACTGGAGTCTTTGACCATTTTTTGGGCCTTCCTCTGATCAATGACTCCTGGTGTGTGTGTTTGTGCCATGACACAGGTGTGTGTGTGTGTGATGCAGTAATCCCCAGTGTGTGGGGGGGGATAGGTGTGAAAGCAGCGTAGGGTGTAGACTTACTGACAGAGATCCATTAGATCACACTGGCAGCTGGGCTTAATTACTGCTAACTAGAGAGGGAGGGAGGGAGAAAGCGGGAAAGAAAGATGGATAGGGGGAAATGGAGAAGGAGAGAGGGAGAAGAGTGCAATTAAGAGGTCTATTTAAAGCTCTCTTTGGCTTGTGTGAAAGTTGTGTAGGGGTGTTTCATTGTGTGGGATTGTGGCTATTGGAAAGGTGTGCGTGTTGCTAGTTTGCCATGCAGTGTATTTGTACAGTGTGTGTGCTTGCTTTTGTGTGTGTGTCAAAGGTGACTAGGCTTGGTCAGTATCCAGATTTTCATACCGTCATACCTCTGCCATCCCGGGATTTAAGGTATTACAGGCATAGCACACAAGGGGGCGCTAGAAACAAACAAAAAAACAATTGGGCATCCATTACCAGAATGCTAACACAATTAGCACAAGTAATAGCAAAACCACATCGACGCTGTTAGCTAAATGCTAACGACCGAAAACTAACAAACTAATTGCAAAGACAGGCAAATACAAGTGTAACTTCATCACCTCATGTGCGCCACACAACAGACACTCGCCGATAGATATAGAACGCTACCGCATTATCCCGTTGTGCTATTTACAAACAAACGTGACTGGCTCTGCTGTTCTGGGGAACTATGGTAAGCTTCATAATGTAAATAATGTGACGGGTGAAATGAAGAACGCAATCTGCTTTATCTCCTAACGAATTGCACAAGTAGCTACAAATATTCAAATGGATTGAAAAACTTCAAATAAATAGTTTTGACGATATTCAAAAACCATCCCATAGCTTTTTCCAAATGAAACGGTATATGGCCCAAGCCTAGCACTGGTGACATTCTCTTTTTTGTTTGTCTCTAATTAGCCGTCTCTTCCGTCAGCGGCGGGCGCATCCTCCAAACAGCTCGCTCCGCTCCTTACGCATCAAATTAAGGCAGTGTGTGACAGTTCAATCTCACCCCGATGGGGACCTGAGCCTATCACAATGGAGAATATTCTGTCATAGTGCAGAATAAAAGACAGTACTGATCAGAAGTCAGAGCAGCTGAGTTAAATGGAGGATTGTCCTGTTGGCTAACTGAAATGCCACACTGTTCCCTCTGACTCTGTGCCTGTGTGTCTGTCTCAGTTCTGGATGTCTGCTCTGGCCACCACCATCCCTGTTCCCTGTGGAGCCTTCATGCCAGTCTTCGTCATTGGTAAGATGTGTGTGTGTGTGTGTGTGTGTGTGTGTGTGTGTGTGTTTCAGCAATAATGTTAACCATGCGGATATGCTACACTATTCAGTCTTGTGAGTGTCTGTGTACCCATATGTTACTCTATCATTAACAGTGTGTGTGTGGTGTGTTCTAGGGGCAGCGTTTGGCCGTCTGGTCGGGGAGAGCATGGCCGCCTGGTTCCCTGATGGCATCCACTCTGATGGCACCATCTACCCCATAGTGCCAGGAGGCTACGCTGTCGTGGGTGAGATACTGTAGAAACTAGACAACATTATTGTAACTATTAGGAAGTGCAAAGCCAGATACAATAAGACACTGCTAGACACAGTAGTAATATAAAGCCATTTATGTCAAAGACAAAAACAACATGATGTCCCCTTTGGCAAAATGTCTCTTAAAGTTGTTGCTATGAGTGATATTGCTGTTAGCTTTGTTGTTGACTGTTGTGCTGATTATGCTGTTGTTCAGTGTTGGTGTTGATGTCATCTGTGTTTGTGTCTAGTGGGTGCTGAGTTGTTGACTCACCTCTAACTCAGCTTTCTCTCTCTGATGAGCCCTCTTTCATCTCAGCATGGCTACATTTGACCCTATTTTTTTCTCTCTCTCTCTCTCTCTCTCCCTCTTTCTCTCTTGCTCTCCTTCCTCCCTCCCTCCTAATGAAGTTAGGAATAATCAACCTTCCCTCCCTCCTCTCTATCACTCTCGCCACTCCTCCTTCTTTCTCTTCTTCTGTCCCTCATCTCTTTTTCTTTATTCAATAACGGTTCAAAAATATGGAAGACGTTTAAAATATGTAACTTCTTTACTACTTTAGTAATGTTAATGGACAGTAACTTCAACCTTCATCTGTACCCATTCCCTCCTCTCTTCCTCTCCCCTCTCCTCCCAGGTGCGGCGGCCCTGTCTGGAGCGGTGACCCACACGGTATCGACGGCGGTCATTGTGTTTGAGCTGACGGGTCAGATCAGCCACATCCTGCCGGTGATGATAGCGGTGATACTGGCCAACGCTGTAGCCCAGTCCCTCCAGCCCTCGCTATATGACTCCATCATCCGGATCAAGAAATTACCCTACCTCCCTGAACTGGGCTGGGGACACCACGAGTGCGTAGGACTACACATCTATCTATCCCCCTATTTCTCTTCCTCCCCTCTTTATCTTTACAACTATTTATCCCCCTTTCTTTCTCTGTCTTTTTCTCATTCTCTTTAAATCTCTCTTGGTTCCTCGTGCTGGGTTGGGGACTAGTGAAGGGACTAGTGAGGGGACTAGTGGTTCCTCTTGCTGTGTTGGGGACTAGTGAGGGGACAAGTGGTTCCTCTTGGTGGGTTGGGGACTAGTGAAGGGACTAGTGAGGGGACTAGTGGTTCCTCTTGCTGTGTTGGGGACTAGTGAAGGGACTAGTGGTTCCTCTTGGTGGGTTGGGGACTAGTGAGGGGACTAGTGGTTCCTCTTGGTGGGTTAGGGACTAGTGAGGGGACTAGTGGTTCCTCTTGGTGGGTTAGGGACTAGTGAAGGGACTAGTGGTTCCTCTTGGTGGGTTGGGGACTAGTGAAGGGACTAGTGAGGGGACTAGTGGTTCCTCTTGGTGGGTTGGACACCAGGCACTATGCTCTTGGTTTGGGACCAGTGAAGGGACGGAGGGGATCAGTGGTTTTTTGTGTGTGGGGACTATGAGACATTGGTTTATGGGAGCTAAATGAAGGACTATTGTTTCATTGTGCTGGTTGGGAATTCTAGTTGAATGTATATGAGGACGAGTGTTACACTTGTGTTTACATGAGGGGCATGGTTCCTCCTACTGACATGGGTTGGGCTATAACAGGATCGGACCAGTGTTCCCCTAGTTGTGGGAAAGCATAGGGCTAGTGTCCTCTCTCCTGTTTGACTATATAAATGGCCTTTGGTGGCTGGGGCATTCGTTATAAACCCTGATGTACTGAGGGAATGTATTGTTCCGTCTTTGGGGTTTAAATAATGGGACCACCTCGTCAACTATGAAGATCTAAGCCGTTTCCTCTGGTACTGGTTGGGAAGTCAACCGGGGGGCTTTGGCCCTTTGGTTGGGCTATATGGGCAATGGGTTTCCTCTTGGTGGGTTTGGGGACTAGTGAGGGGACTAGTGGTGCCTCTTGGTGGGTTGAGGGACTAGTGAGGGGACTAGTGGTTCCTCTTGGTGGGTTAGGGACTAGTGAAGGGACTAGTGGTTCCTCTTGGTGGGTTAGGGACTAGTGAGGGGACTAGTGGTTCCTCTTGGTGGGTTAGGGACTAGTGAAGGGACTAGTGAGGGGACTAGTGGTTCCTCTTGGTGGGTTAGGGACTAGTGAAGGGACTAGTGAGGGGACAAGTGGTTCCTATTGCTGGGTTGGTTCTTCTTGTGCTCTATCTCTCTCTCTCCTTCCCTTTCCCTCTCGCTCTCCTTCACTCCACCCACTATGCTTTGATTTCACCAATGGGGACGGAGCGGATCAGGAGTGTGTGTGTGCGTCATTAGACATTGTTATGTGAGCTAAGTGTAGGTCGTATTGTTTTTCATTGTGCTGTTACATAATTTCTCATTTACATGTAGATTATACAGAGTTACAACATGTAGTTACACAATGTGCAGCAGTGTACACACAAACACACTGACAGCAGTTGACACAAACACGATCACGTAGACCAGTATTCTCAGAGTTGTGAGAAAGCAGCATGCCCTGTCACCTCTCCTGTTCATCTATCATTAATGGCCTGTTAGAGTACGGCTGACATTCGTTATAACCTGAAGTACTAAAGCAATGTATCTGTTCTGTTTCTGTTAACTAATGACCAACCACCCACACTCTCTAATGACCACACCTCTTAAGCCCCGTTTCCACTGGTACTTTGAAGTCAACCCGGGTTGGGCTGGCCTTGGTGGGCTATCTCGAATTGGGTTTCCACTGCCTCCAGAAATTTTGCTAAGTAGCCGTGACTGTGCAGCTGGCTTCGCTAATGTTGCTAGCTAGCTAGCAAGATGTTGAAGAATTGTATTCACCCTCACCATGCTGTAACTAACGTTACCCCATACTCATGCCATTGGCAACCAGACTCACAGCCATGTATTTAGCAAAGATTTTTAGCTTGCTAATGTTAGCTAGCTAGCTAAACGGTTAGTGTCATCGCTAGCATAACAGGCTAACTAGATAGCTAGCTTAATTCCTACCTTGCTTGCCATGGCATTGGCTATTAGCAAGCTAGCAAACCAGACAACAGGTTTGATATGATGTAGCTAGCTAAAATTCCTGCTTGCTAACGTTAGCTAGCTAGCTAGCTAGCTTGTTTCAACTCTGGGGTTTTAAGCTGAATTTCTGTATATGCACTTTGACACCTGCTGATGTAAAAAGGGCTTTATAAATGCATGTGATTGCTACCTAACGTTAGCTAGCAAATCAAACATTCAAGGGCTGACTGTTCTCATAAAAGTTTGTGTAGTGCAAAAATGAATGATGGATCCAGCTATGGTGGAAAATTCGTGTCATGTCTGACTACAGCAGTTCTGCTTGTCCATGTGCTAGCTAACACCAACGAGCTAGCTAAACGTTGTCAGCATCCAGCAGTGATCAGCTGGTGGTTGCAAAGTAACGGCGTCACCAGCCCGAATTCTAATCGAGCTGGCACCAGTTGTTAAAATGGACCGAGCTGGCCTGGGTTTCCCCCGACCCAGCTAGAATTTCAGAATTACATTCGAGCCAACCTGAATTTGGCCCTAATTCTAAGTGCCAGTGGAAACTGGGCTTTAGTCTGAACACTGGAAGCATCTACCTGGGAGAGAGGTGTTTTCCAAAACCTAAAACCATTCTGTTATTTTATAAGACCATGGTAAAGATGTGTGTGTGTTCCTGTTGCTGGTGGAGGGCTAAAGAGCAGAACATGGTGTAATGATGCATAAGGCTCCTTTTTTCGCTCTCGCTTTCTATCACTCTCTTTCTTTCTCACTTTCGCTCTCGCTTTCTCTTTCTACCCTTCGTGCTCTCTCCCCCTCTCACTCACTCTCTCTCTCCCCCTCTCACTCTCTCTCTACCCCCTCTCACTCTCTCTCTCCCCCTCTCACTCACTCTCTCTCTACCCCCCTCTCACTCACTCTCTCTCTCCCCCTCTCACTCACTCTCTCTCTCCCCCTCTCCCCTGCTCTCCCTCTCACTCCTCTCTCTCCCCTCTCCTCACTCTCTCCTCCCCTCTCACCCCCCCCCTCTCTCTCTCCCCCTCTCACCACTTCCTCTCCCCTCTCACTCCCTCCTCCCCCTCTCACTCACTCCTCTAACCCCCCTCTTCCACTCTCTCTCTCCCCCTCTCACTCCCTCTCTCCCCCTCTCCTCACTCTCTCCTCTCCCCTCTCACTCTCTCTCCCTCTCCCCTCACTCCTCTCTCTACTACCCTCTCACTCTCTCTCCTCCCCCTCTCACTCACTCTCTCTCTCTCCCCTCTCACTCCTCCCCCTCTACCCCTCTCACTCTCTCCCCTCTCCCCCCCTCACTCCTCTCTCTCTCCCCCTCTTACTCACCCCTCTCTCCCCCCCCTCTCACTCACCCCTCTCTCTACCCCTCTTACTCCCCTCTCTCTCTACCCCTCTCACTCACTCTCTCTCTCTCCCCCCCTCACTTCCTCTAACCCCTCTCACTCTCTCTCCTCCTCCCCCTCTCACTCCTTTCCCCTCCCCCCTCACTCTCTCTCCCCCCCCCCTCTCACCCCCTCTCTCTCCCCCTCTCACTCACTCTCTCTCTCCCCTCTCACTCTCTCTCTCTCCCCCTCTCCTCTCGCTCTCTAACCCCCCTCTCACTCCTCTCCCTCTCTCCTCTCTCCCTCTCCCTCACTTCACTCTCCTCTCCCCCTCTCTCCCTCTCTCTCCTCCCCCTCTCACTCACTCTCTCTCTCCCCCCCCTACTCCCTCTCCCCCCTCTCACCCCTCTCCTCCTCCCCTCACTCACTCTCTCCCCTCTACCCCTCTCCTCTTCTCTCCCTCTACTACCCCCTCACCCCTCACTTCCTCCCCCCCCTCTCACTCACTCTCTCCTCCCCTCTCCACTCCCCTCTCTCCCCCCCTCACTCACTCTCTCTCCCCCTCCTCACTCCCCTCCCCTCTCCTCTCCCCCCTCTTCTCACTCTCTCTCTCCCCCTCACCACTCTCTCTCTCTACCCCTCTTACTCACCTCTCTCCCCCTCTACCCTCTCTCTCTCCCCTCTCATCACCCCCCTCTCTCTCTCCCTCTCACTCCTCTCCCCTCCCCTCATCCTCTCCCTCCCTCTCACTCCCCCCCCCTCTCACTCACTCTCTCCCTCTCCCCTCTCCTAACCCCTCCCTCACCTCTCTCTTTCCCCCCTCACTCACTCTCTCTCTCCCTCTCTCCCCCTCTCACCCCTCTCCCCTCCTCTCCCCCTCCTCTCCCCTCCTACCCCCTCTCCTCTCCCCCTCTCACTCCTCTACCTCTCTCACCCCCTTCTCCTCTCCTCTCCCCCTCTCACTCACTCTCTCTCTCCTCTCTACCCCTCTCATCACTCTCCTCTCCTCCCCCCCTCTACTCTCCCTCTCTACCCCCTCCCATCCCTCTCTCCCACCCCCCCCACCTCCTCTCCCCTCTCACTCACTCTCTCCCCCTCCCCCCTCTCCCCCCTTCCCCTCTCACTCCCCCCCTCCTCTCTCCCCCCCTCCCCCCTCTCCTCTCTCCCCCCTCTCACTCACTCTCTCTCCCCCCTTCCACCCCCTCTCACTCACTCTCTCCCCTAACCCCCCCTCACTCCCCCTCTCCCCTCTACCCCTCTCTCTCTCCCCCCCCTCACTCACTCTCTCTCTTCTCCCCCCTCACTCCCTTTTCTCCCCCTCTCACTCTCTCTCTCTACCCCCTCTCACTCACTCTCTCTCTACCCCTCTCATCACCTCCTCCTCTACCCCTCTCACTCTCTCTCTCCCCCCCTCATCACTCTCCTCTACCCCCTCCTCACTCCTCTCTCTCCCCTCCACTCTCTCTCTCTAAACCCCCTTCACTCTCCTCTCTCCCCCTCTCACCCTCCTCTCTCCCCTCCTCATCCTCTCTCTCTCCCCCCTACTCACTCTCCTCTCTTCCCCTCCTCACTCTCTCTCCCCCTCTCACTCACCTCTCTCTCACCACTCCTCCCCCTCTCTACCTCTCCCCTCCTCTCCTCTCCCCCCTCTCACTCACTCTCTCTCTCCCCCTCTCACCACTCCTCTCTAACCCCCCCCACTCCTCTCTCCCCTCCCCTCTCCTCCCTCTCTACCCCTTTTCCTCACCTTCCTCCCCCCCCTCTCCCTCACTCTCTCTCCCCCCTCTCACTCCCTCTCTCTCCCCCCTTCTTCACTCTCCCCTCTCACCCCCCCTCTTACTCACCTCTCTCTCCCCCTCTCTCACTCTACCCTCTCCCCCTCTCACCCTCTCTCTCTACCCCCTCCCCTCTCTCTCTACCCCCTCCCCCTCTCTTCCTACCCCTCTCCTTCACTCTTTCCTTCCCTCTCTTCTCCCCCTCCCTATTTTCTTCCTCTCCCTCTTTCCTCTCACCTCTCTCTCTCCCCTCTCACTTCCCCCTCTCCTCCCCTCTCTCTTCTCCTCCCTCTCCTCTCCTCTCTCTCTCTATCCCCCCCCACTTCTTCTTCCCATTACTGCATCTTTTTACCCCCTTACATTCTATTTAGGTTAAATAAAAAACTTGTCTAAAGGGCCCCCCAACTCTTTTTTCCCATTCATTCTTACCCCCTTTCCCCCTCCCACCCCCACACCCCTTTTTAACCTATAATCTTCCACCCCACCCATTATCTCCCACCCCCACCCTTTTAAACTTTCACCTTTCTTATCTCCTTTTCTCCTATTTCTTCGCCCCTCTCCTCTTGCCCTCCCTTTTTTTATTCCGCATCATTTTTCCCCCCCCCCCCCCCCCCCCCCCCCCCCCCCCCCCCCCCCCCCCCCCCCCCCCCCCCCCCCCCCCCCCCCCCCCCCCCCCCCCCCCCACTCCGGGGTTTGTGTGTGTGTTTGGTGGGGGAGTGTTTTTAAATTACTATTTTTTTTTGGCCCCCCCCCCACAGGGTTTTTCCCCCCTAAAAAAAGGGGCTGAAATTTTTTTTATGGAAACCAGGATTTTCCAGTAAGGG